AATGTCAGGAGCATCAATGTCAGGAGCATCTTTGGTCCCTTCTGTTCACACACAGAACAACGAGCAGGCGGCGGTGCCCCCGCGGGGCCGGAGCCGGCAGCACAGGGCACAAAGGAGCCGATCGGGCTCCCTGGCACCGCAGGAAGGGAAGGCTGGATGTGGATGCGCCACAGCCCGGATCCCTGTCCCGGGACAGCCCTGGAGCTCCAGAGCCCGTCCCCGCCTCCCGGCCGTGCTGCTTGTGCTTGACGACAGCGTTAATGAAGAAGCTCGTTGGGTTCAGGGGTTTAAGGCCACAGTGTTCCGGGGGGTCTTCCCAAAGGACTCCCCAGGGGGCTTCCCTGTCACTCTGGGCTGTGACACCCCGGGAGCACCAGGCGGGGACGGTCCCACCCCGTGCCGGCTCTGCAGGGTCCCACTGGACACAGACTCGAGGTCGCCAAAGACATTTGGAGGTCGGGATAGAAAAGCCACCACAGTGATGAGGTCTGAGGGCTCCAGGCTGGGAATTCTCAGCCGGTCTAGGGACAGCTTTGGGACTGAATTCTGTACATTCGCAGGTCGGGATGTAAAAACACAAAACCCCAAAAAAAAAAACCCCAAGGGGTGAATCACGGGGAGCCTGAAACAACACAGAGCTCTTGGGGAAGCTCCTCCCTTCTTCACTCACCAAACAAACTCCCAGAGGTGGAGCAGGGACCTGTCTGGATGCAGAACAGGGCGGGGGGAGGCTGGGAAGAGCACAGGGAACACAGGCAGAGGCAGGTGGAGCCCCTGGATCCACCTGGCCCTGCCATGCTTTCTCCCAAACCACTCACCTCCGGCAGGAGAATCAAGCTGGGTTGGGAAGGGTCATGGGGAAGTTGAGCTTCTTAATGCACTTTTGAGAGGGGAAATGGAGCTGGAGAGCACAGAGAGGAGCACCAGGGAGGGCAGCAGGGGCAGAGCTCTGTGTGGTCCCAGTGTGTGCCAAGGAACCCCATCCCTGGGAGAGAGGCAGCACAACAGCAGTTGTGCCCAGTTAAGGCAGCGTTTCTACTAAATGAGGTTCCTAAACCACCACTGTGGCCCAGACAAATGAGGCTCTGCTCCCAGTCCAGCACTGGAGCGCTGGCTCTGCTGGTCCTCAGCTCACTGGGGTAAAGCCCTTCCCGAGGTGGGGATGGATCCCAGGTCCCCTCGGCACAGCCAGGGCCATGGAGCCCCTTCCTGCTTCTGAGAGGAGCTGGGAGATGGCTGGAGAAGGCAATTGGATGTGAATGAGATGCTGGAAAAGCTCCTTGGAGCAGCGGCCTGGCAGGGAGCCGAGGTGCATGGCAGCTCTGGAAGGCAGGGGACAGCAGGAATGTCACTTCCAGTGCCACCATCTCCTTGGCCACCCGCAGGCACACCCAGGGTGGCGCTCGGGGATCCAAGGAGATCCCGTGGATCCGAGCAAGGTGCAGCTGGCTCAGATCTCTGCACACTCAGTGAGGCCGAGCCCTCCCTGCGGAGCACAGGCACACTGTCACGGGCTGGTGTCCTGTGTCACCTGCTGGA